CAAATAAAGAGAAGATCTTCTTTGCTTTGCTTTTAGTGTGTGTGTGTGTGTTTTTCTATCTTTGATATGTAAGGCAGAAATTGAAGGCCTCATCTTATGCCTATGGTGTGTATGAAAAGTGTGACCCAAACCTTCTCTACTACTCAGAAGCTCTTTGTAATCACTCTTTTTTATAGGTGAATTATAGAACTTTAATCTGAATAACTTTTGAAAAGAAATTAGACTTATATGTTTTGTTTTTGTAATTGTAAACAAACTAGAATAATTAAATGAAAAATTATACTCGATTTTGAAGTTAATTTTGGGTTGTTTCAACCAAAAGAACAGTAAATTGTGCACAAAATATCAAAGTTTTGGAGCTTCTATCTTATCCGAAACCTTTGGGGGTTAAAGTAGAATTAGTAAATATGTTGGGGCAGATATGGAATATTGAAAACTCAAGTCGACTCTCCGTCATCGGAGAAGAAGCAAATGAAAGAAAACAAACTCTGTCGTTCAATCCCCAATTCGAAACCCTAATTCTCAATTCCTCGTTGATTCTCTGAGAAGTTAGAAGATACAGTGAAATTTGTAGACACTGCAGAGGATTCGTGTTGGATTGATGAATTCAATCGAAGAAATGAGCCCTGACTCGATCAAAGATGGCACCGTCGAAATCACGCACAAAACGATCGGCCCAGCTCGACCGTCTCGAATCCGAGTGGCGTCTCGTATCAAAGTTAGCGACTTTATCCTTGTTCGTTATCTCTCTACGTATATTGTGTGTGTACGAAGAGGAATTGATCTCTTTTGGCTGATTTTAGGTTCGTGATTTGAGGAATGCGATTGCGGAAAAGGGTCGATTTCCCGTCGCAAATTTGAAGATGATTCTTCGTGGAAAGGCACTTCAAGACGAGGAAGATGGAGATGATGTATACGTTACGCTCAAAGACGAAGGTACAGAGTCTGCTGAAAAGGTTAAGAGTGTGTAAGAGTTTTTCTTGAATGGGTTTTAGATTAAGCGCACTACTCTTGGTTTCCTGTGTAGATTCTTTGATCGTTGCTGTTATACCAAAACCACCAGTTGGAGTTGAGACCT